CAAGATCCCTTTCCACTTCCGTGCCACCCAGCAGGTCATTTCCTAGGCAGTAGGTATGCTGGACATTTTTCCTCCCTAGGTGCAGCACTTTGCATTTCTCCTTGTTGAACTGCATTCTGTTGTTTTCTGCCCACTTGTCCAACCTGTCCAGGTCTGCTTGCAGCTGTTCCCTGCTCTCCGGCATGTCCACTTCTCCCCATAGCTTTGTGTCATCTGCAAACTTGGACAGAGTACATTTCACTTCCTCGTCCATGTGATGCTGCGGCTTTACTAGCTGCAGCATCACATTGCAGGCTCATGTTCATCTTGTGGTCAATGATGACCCCCAAGTCTCTTTCTTCCATAGTGCTAGCCAGCATAGCACTGCCGAGCCTGTAAGGATGCTGCGGGTTTTTCTTCCCAAGGTGGAGAACCTTGCATTTATCGGCATTGAACACCATCAGATTCTCGTCCGCCCACTTGCTGAGCCTGTCCAGGTCAGCCTGGATCGCCCACCTGTCTTCTGGTGTGGATGCTTTGCCCCAAAGTTTGGTGTCATTAGCGAACTTGGCCAGTCTGCTTCTGACTCCAGTGTCCACATCATTAATGAAGATGTTGAACAGTATGGGTCCAAGGACAGAGCCTTGGGAGACACCACTGGTCACAGGACAGCACGATGAGTGACTTCCATCAATTACTACCCTCTGGGTCCGACCACGGAGCCAATTTTCCAGCCAGTGGATCGTGGAGGACCCAAGGCGACAATTGGCCAGTTTCTCCAAGAGGCGATCATGGGACACCAGATCGAAGGCTTTTTTGAAGTCAAGATATATGACATCAATCTTTTCTCCCTTGTCCAGGTGATAGGTCACCTGGTCGTAGAAGGAAATGAGATTGGTCAAGCAAGACCTACCCGCAACAAACCCGTGCTGGCTATCCCTTAAGATGTTGGCGTCGGCCAGTCCATTAAGGATGGCCTCTTTAATAAACTTTTATTAAAGATCTTCCCTGGGATAGAAGTCAGGCTAATGGGCCTATAGTTAGCCGGATCCACTTTCCTCCCTTTCTTGAAGATAGGCACCACATTGGCCTTCTTCCAGTCTTCGGGCACTACACCAGAGCGCCAAGAGTGTTCAAAGATCCGTGCTAGAGGCTGGGCTATGATGCTCGCCAGCTCCTTGAGTACCCTGGGGTGAAGATTGTCAGGGCTGGCTGACTTGAAGGTATCCAGCTTCTCGAGATGTTCCTTCACGAAGTCAGCATTAATGGAGGGCAGGGGGTCACCCTCACCCGGACTTCCCTGTCCCGTAGCGGGCATGGGTGTCCCATTTGTCAGGTAAAAGGTAAAATATGGTGGCACCAAGTGTGAACTTCAGAATGTACATCTTCTACCCAGTAGGTTGTTGACAGTGTTGTACAGTGCTACAGGCAGCACACTTGCTTCAGACTTTTCCAGTACTGAGATGTGTTGCAAGCGTAGAATTATAGCCAATTTGATTCTGGGATTAAACTTAATTTTTTCTAGCATGAATCAGATTTTTTCTATGTATAAACCTAAGGTTTATAAAAAGTAACAACTTGACCATGTTTGACCTAAGCTGGTGTTATGTAACAATCTATATCCATCATTTTAATAATAGGAATTCAAATACCTATCTAGAAACAGACAAATGAAAAAAACCCCACAAAACCAAACCTTTATCCCATCTAAATTAATATGCCTGACCTTTATGCAGTGAAACTGTTCTCTCTCATATTTATCAGGCCAATACTAATTGCAAAATTACTTCATGCTGTTATGACTGTAAATCAGAAGTATAGCCCAAAAAATTAAATGTGTATTCATGAGGTTCATTTTCCACTGGAAGTGCCTTGTTTTTTCTTATGAGTGTTTATTTAACCAGTAATGTGTTTTTATGTAAATTAACACTAAATTATTCCTTATGACTTTGTCTTGCACTGAAAAAATATATGGTTTATTCTGTTTTCAGGTAATGGGTTTTGGATTGTACCTGATGGATGGAAGTGTTAGCAACATCTATAAACTAGATGCAAAGAAAAGGATAAACTTGACCAAGATAGACAAGTTTTTTAAGGTTGGTTAGAAAAGTAACTCTTTTACAGTTTAAACATTCTAACTTTTATATTTAAAGGCGACTTTTTATAACTATTGAACTATACAGTATTACTTTTCAGCCAAATAAGTGGTAATTAAGTACTATAATTTAAAATCTATGTGCTATTTTTATTGTCTGACTAAGCTAAATTCTTAGTTCTGTCTGTCTCTTAAGAAAAGCCACATTACTGGTCATCTGAAACCAAATAAGTTCATAAATGCAAATATTAAAAGGATTTATTTTAGTTTTTAAAACTTATCTGTTTTCTTTCTTGAGTACAGCAGCTGCAAGTGGTTCCACTGTTTGGTGACATGCAGATTGAACTGGCAAGATACATTAAGACCAGTGCCCATTATGAGGAAAACAAATCCAGGTAGGAACGCAGTCAAACACTGTGGATGGAGAAGGGACAGAGTCTTATGTGATATTGTCATGAAGTCCAATTGAAGTCAGTGGGTCTCTGGCAACTGAGGACTTGTCCTTTGGCTGCTTTAGCAGCCATGTGGTGATAATGTGGATACTTTGTTGGCTGGGAGTGTTATTTTTAGAACTGAGCTATTTTAAATTGCAACTATAACCATAGGAACTGCTTAGAAACGGCCATTATTTTCATGCCATGCACAAATAATCGAGCCCGTCCTTGGACCATTACCACTCATTTCTGTCAGTTCTGTTCTATCCTGTTGGGCTGGGAGAAATAAATTTAGTGCTAGAATATTTAAACTTTCACCTTACACTAATCAATTTTTCTTTCTTTCCTTTAAATGTGTAACTTTTCTTTAAAAGAAATGAAGGATTGTATTAAGGTGAGCTCTAGTGCATGGCAATAGGCATGTGTACAGTATATTTGGAGCAGCCATTTAGTCTGCGTCCCTTCTTCGCAAGATTGTCAATGAGTGTGCACCAAAACACCATGGTTGGAAGATACAACTGGCACACGAATTTTCACCATTGTATTTTTGGTTGTGAGCATCTCTGCGCTCGTCCTAAGACCTTCCCTCCCATGTAGTTATGAATCATTTTAAATATAGTGCTTTGCATTTTAATTCTTGCAAAAAAGCTGTGCAACTTGCATGTATCTGATAAGACAAAAAGCAACAGTTGGATGGAGATACTAAGGCATAAGCTTGGGGTTTTTCTTTCATTGTGTATTGTTTAACTTGGCACTCTTGGTACTAGTAGCATGTCCTTTGTGTCCTTGTTATCACCTTTTTTAGTAAAGTATGCAGTACTTTCAGAAACATACAGTATCCGATAGGTTCTAGGGTGTAAAGAAAGATACTTTAAGGCAGTTGTGAGGGGTAGCTCCTGTGTCCTGTGCTTCCATAAAGAGGAAGAAGGGCTTTGTGTATGGATCAGCATCAGTCTTTACATTTAAAGAGAATTGTATGGGCTCAGGAGGGCATCCGATTTCTAATTCTCCTGACCTAGGGTGAGCAAGAAACCTTAACACAAGTCCTAAAAAAGATAATGAAGAACTAAATGGCCAACAACATTTTCTGCTTTGTGGTGGACTTTATATCAGTTCTGGTATCTGTATCCCTTCATAAACATCAAAATTAATATGTTGTGTTTTTTTTTTTTTTCTCCCCACCTGAAATAGATGGACATGCACTTCTTCCAGCAGCAGCCCCCAGTATAATATCTGTGAGCAGATGATCCAGATCAGAGAGGACCATATGCGCTTTATTTCAGAGCTGGCTCGTTACAGCAATAGCGAGGTATGGGACTGTATCCCTGTTCTGTGCAAACAGTACTTAAGTAATGAATGGTTGTTACAGTTAGAGGTAAGAGATGTGGGTAAGGTTCAGAGCACATCAGTGCACTCTGTTATTTAACCAGCTGCATCAAAGAAAGTTGCGTAGAAGGCTGGGCTGCTGTCTTTTCATGTTTATGTGCAAGTTTCTAGGCGTGAACTATGGTCACAGTGCTGCCTTTCATGCTGAATTTGTATAACTTAGAGGCAAGGATTTTGGGAGGTGATATCTTTTATTGGACTGTTGCATTGTTGGGATAAAGTTAATGTTGGGGTCAAGTTGCATTGTTGGGATGCTTTCATATGGAAGGCATTCTTCAGGTGGCACTTGTCAGCATTGTATATATGCATAGCATTATGAATAAAAGTGTAAGTCAAGAGACCAGTGTTCAAAAAGACATATTTTTCATTTTTTCCCTCTCAATAAGATAGATATGAGGCCTTACTTATTGATTTGGTCTACAGCGGTGTTTGGGCATGATAGAATACCAGTGCTCTGTCTCTGGCTGTTGTAAATATATAGCTAAGTTTGTATCTGGGATTTAAAAAGGGCTGGAATTGGTGCATTGTGTGTAAACAGCATTTTCTTTTTCATTTCCAAAACGAAGTGCTACATCATATGTTTAAAGCTTGCATTTATTTAACTTTGTCCCAGGTGGTAACTGGATCTGGACGTCAAGAAGCTCAGAAAACAGATGCGGAGTATCGGAAACTATTTGATCTTTCCCTCCAGGGGCTGCAGCTCCTATCTCAATGGAGTGCGCATGTTATGGAAGTGGTATGTTTCCTGGCAAGATTGGCAAGAGGGAGCTTTAGGGAGAGCAGATTGCACAATAAGGTTCAATGGTGTACACTTCACTTTAAATATCTTTGTGCTCATTCTTCTCCTTTTGTTTTGTGGACCATTGTTTTTAACCGGGCAAGATGTGGGCTCAGATCTTACCTTTACTTTTTAAGTGTCCAAAGCCGATTCACCCCAAAATTGTCTCATTCCAAATACCTCTAAGGCCTTTAGAGTCCATTCCCCATACATCTTGAGTACATTCTCTCAATAGGAAGCCTGGTTCTGTCCCACCCTGCTGCTGTGTAGAGTTCCTATTCTGGCAGAGGGCAGCAGGCAGGCATGCACACCAAGAGAGGAGAATCCTATTCTACTAAGGCCAGGTGCTCATACCCCTGCAGTTCTTCCTACTGAGAACTTTAGCGGCTGCCTTATGCACTTTTGTCAAATCTGGTTCCAGCTAAATCTGATCCACCAAGAGAAGAGGGATCCTCTACACTTGGAGAGGATGCCTGCCTGTGCAGCTAACTCAGGGTTGGGCAAGTATTTTGGGTCTGAGGACCACGTAGGCCATTTTGAGCTGTTGTGGGCTGGGTCAGTGCCCTCCCCTGCAACAGCTCACCAAAACTCCCTATACGTGATTGGGCCCCTGGCAGTGGTGTTCAGGAGTGGGACAGGTGGGCAATGCCAGGATCACAGGGTGGTGACAGTGTGGGACCAGGGCTGGGTCAGACCTGTGATCCACTGCCTACACACTCCTGTGACAGGTGTGGGTTCCCTGGGCAGGGTCATGTAGGGGGTGGATTGCAGCTCTGCTTTGGCTTAGCCCCGCACTGTCACTGCCTCACAGTCTCAGCCTGGGATGCAGCTCCCTACCTGACCATGCACTCTGTGGCTCCCTGCGTGGCCATGTGCTACGTCCAAAGCTAGGATCTTGTGGCGGTGATAGCATGGGGCTAGGGTAGAGCTGGAAGCTGCTGCTAGCCATTACTAGGGGGCTGCAGCACCCATGGCGAGGGAGATGGGCAGGGGACAGCTGCATGTCACCACTGAGCCTGCCAAGTGTGGGGAACGTAGCCTTCCTCACCTCTCCCCTTGCCCGTCCCCTCCCCTGGCCTGGGGCGCATGGCTCGCAGGTGGGGGTGGACTTGGTGGTGACTCCACGTTGCTTGGGATGGTGGGCAGTACTCAACCTGCCACGCACTTGGAAGTGGTGGCCAGGACTGGGCCGGGGCCAGGGGAGTCAGGCAGTGCTGTGGCTCCCCTGTGCCATGCCAGCCTGCAGCTCACCCCGGGATGCTTGTGCAGGGTAGCAGCCTCCAGCCCTGCTGACTCGGCTTGGGATGTAATGTGTGAAGCAGTGCAGTGTGAGCCCTGGTGATGGCATTGTGTCCAGGGCTGAGACCAGGGCCAGTCTCCATGGAGGCTGGTCAGGAGCACGCAGGCAGGGTGGGACCAGCTGTATGCACCATGGCCCAGGCTGCCCCTGTGCCTAGGCAGGCAGGGCCAAGGGACCCACTTTGGGTTGGGCAAAATCGCTCCAGGGGCCGTATTTTACCTACCCCTTGTCATGGTGGCAGGAGGATATGCCCAGGTGGTTGTACTGGATTGCCTCTGAGCCCATGCAGTAAGTGAAGTCCAGATGTCATGGGGATGTTTCAGGCCAAGATGGGGACTTGTAAGAATTGCGGATGTCTTAGCCAAATTCTGGCTGTTGCACAAGGTGGAACTGGGGTCATGTTTAGCTACTTGAGTGTAATTTATGCAGCTTTTAGGTGCCTGAGAGGCCACAAAGATAGATTAGGTTCTGGGTGGACCCAAGTGGTGTTCTCTCATGATGTTGGTAACACTTGTGCTGATCAAGTGGCAAAGGTCCAGTAGTCTTTCGGTGGATGGCATTAAATTTAAGATCTGGTGATCTCCTTTGCGTCATAGGCAGCCATTTTTTATTTTGCTTTTGAACACACGTTTTGTGGTTTTAAAGCACTGTTTATTTTTCCTAGAGTGCAACTTTAACTCATATGTCATAAACTGCATTACCAGCGCACTTCCCAAAATTAGACAGCAGATGACACATGATGCAAGGAAAACCAAACCGTTGCATTTAGATATTTTTGGTGAATAAGTGAAAGCAAAGGTGGCCTCATCTAAAGCCCACAAAAATGGATGGAAAGACTCCCATTGGCTTCAGAGGCCAATAAACAGAGATAATAAAGGAGAAAAGCACTTTAAAGCAGGGGTCAGCAACATACGGCTTCACTGCATCTGGCCTGCAGAGCTGTGGAGCTTTGCTGATGCCTGTGCTAGCACTAGGCAGCAAAGAACTGTGCTAGGGCTGGGCAGTTTTCAGGTGTACCTGTGCTACTGCTGCTCTTTCTCCCCACCCTCCCAGCTCCAGTCCAACTCAGGCCAGGTGATTTCAGACATGTGCCAGTACTGGGGGCTTTGCTTGGAGATGGGCCACATCAGTGCCACTTCTTTCCCTCTCCCTGGGCTGTGGCATAGGCATTGCTTCCAGGTGGTAGGGAGCTGTGCTGGAGTGGGTTCTTCCTGGCAGGGAGAGGGGGGGTGGCATTGGGAGGAAAGGGAGCAGAAAGAGGCAGCAGCACAGATGTAGCTTGCAGCTACCTGCTCCTGGTTCAGCAAGCTACTGCCTGGAAGCTGTGCCTGCACTGCAGCCAGGGAGTCAAGGGAAGGGTGGGGAAGCAGCAATAGTGTGGGCACAGCTCCAGTCTGCTGAAGCCACCTGGCCTGCATTGGACCGGAGCTGGGCTGTTCTGGCCTGCAGCTTGTAAAATCACTGGCCCCTGCTTTAAAGAAAAGGAGAAGGAGAGACAAGATAAGGAAGCGTGATGATTTAGTTGTATCTGTTCTTCATCTTTTTAACAACTTGTCTTGAAAGCAGATTTCACTTAGGGAAGCAGCTAGAAAATCTGCACCTTTGACTCGGCCAACACCTTGTTTAAATATAAGGGAGCAGTTGAAAGAGGATGCTGCAGTTACCCCTTCTGCATCTCTGGCACTCATGCCTTAACACCGTATATCCTGTACCAAAGCTTAAACCTAAACAGGCTGCAGGTACATAAAAGCTGTAGTCTGGAGGAATCTGTCCAATAGATCTTCTGGAAAGTATTAATTTTGCCATGTAACTTCTGTCAGAAAGTTGTCTTAGAACTTAATGTAGGATATTAAAGTAATGTGGCATTCTTTTTACCTTTTGAAGTCCCCCTAAGAGTGATGAAAGTCTGCTTAAAATAATATCTGCTTTTAAATAATGGTAATCGTGTGGGATTTTTGTTGCATATCTTTTTCAGTTCATTTTTTTCATATCTTGCTTTGTTTACCTATGTGCATTGCAGTATTCATGGAAGCTAGTGCATCCAACTGACAAATACTCAAATAAAGATTGCCCTGACAATGCAGAAGAGTATGAAAGAGCAACACGATACAATTATACCAGTGAGGAGAAATTTGCTTTGGTCGAGGTAAAAGAAATCTGTTTATTTCATTGCGATCTGGACTTTTCCATTCTCTTTCATCAGATTGTAGTTTTTTTGTTTTGAAGGAGAAGTTTGTTTCCACATACACATGCATGGATACATAATGTAATGTAATGTAATGTAATGTTTTTTTTTCCTTCCAGGTTATTGCTATGATTAAAGGCCTTCAGGTGCTGATGGGCAGGATGGAAAGTGTCTTTAACCATGCGATCCGCCATACCATTTATGCTGCTCTTCAGGACTTCTCCCAAGTCACACTTAGAGAACCATTAAGACAGGCCATCAAAAAGAAGAAAAATGTCATTCAGAGGTAATGAGACATTCTCATCCACCATCCATTTTTTTCCCCCACATATTCTGCTATTTAAAAATTGCTTAGTGTTAACTTTCACCTATCTAAACTTTAGTTTTCATATCCCAAGCCAGGGTTTTTTGGAGTATTTTAATTAAGGTGCTGACTGCCAGTGTTCCCTCTAAGCTGCGCGCATGTGTGGCCATACACAAAAAAAAAAAAAAAATCATGCTGCGCAACAACGGGGGACCTGCGCACACCTACCTACCGGCCACAAGGAGGGGGAACCAATTGCGGGGCAGACCGAAGCTGCGCACGCTGGAAGTGGGAGGTGGGACCAATTTGGGAACGGACTGAAGCAGTGCGCTCACAGCATGCTCACGGACCGCTAGACCTTAGAGGGAACATTGCTGACTGGTAATTTAAAGTTGGACAACCAGAAGAGGTAATGAAGTGTAATGCTACCAATACCACTAATTGTTTTCAGCGTCTTTCCTTTTTATTTTAGAGAGACTGGTGGCAGCCTCACTGATGATTTCAGTACTTCATTTTCTAGTAGTTCACTCTGTCCTTAGCACTTCAGTATTGTCCTCTGCTCCCCAGCCCAAATGGCATCCTGTTGTAAACTTATTCCTCAGCTTTTTATGATGCCTTAGCCTGCTGACCTTACTCACCACTTACCCAGTCTTCTTTTCCCTGGAAGCCATTAGTTCCATTCCTGACCTTGTTTTAATGCATCCAACTGTTGTGTTGACTTGTGACCCATACTTTTTGATTTACCCTGTTGCTGAAGGACCTTGTAGGTGAACGCTGTTGACTGGTTGGTCACGTTAATGCCAAATTCTTCCATTTTCCACAAAAAATACAAGGCATGGTAGAAACCTTCCAATTATTCCAAATCTTTAGGTTTGCAAATAGGTTGTTTTACTGTGTGTTGTGGTGGCTTTTTTAAATAAATGAAATAAATATATTTAATGTGCCAGCTGAGATCTTCTAGGTATGCAAGAATGTTTTTTCTTGAGCCCTGAAAGCAACGTTTTCCTATATGTTTGAATGTGGGAGGTGAAGTTCATTTGATCACTCTGTATTCTATGCAATGTTTAGAAGTCTTGTAACAAGTGATTGCAGTCCATTTCAATACATAGTATTCATGGTGTTAGGACTGATGAACTTTTTGAATTTGGAGGGTTGTATTTCCAACCCTTCACATGTGGGGTTTTTGTTTTGTTTTTTTTAAATGCTCATTACATTCCAAAATACTCTTGTTCTCTTTGGATTTTGACAATTTAAAATATATCATTAACTTACTGTAATCCTTACTAAAATATTTGAAAACAGGAGCTTTCTCCAATATTATCTGTTTATTCCTCAGGCCTGCTTTATCCTATGGTAAATGCCATTGAATGCTGTTTTATGTTTGCCTCCATGTTACTGGATTATGATGCCCTAAATTATTTCTCTCTCTGTATATTGCCAAAGTTAGCTATCGGTGACAAAAGCTAAATATTGCATTTACTTGAATAAAGACAATCCTGAATAGAAGATGACCCCCCAGTAATTAGACTGTATATGGAAAATGTACAGATTTGTTTTCCAGGTATAGAATCTAATCAGTCATTGGAGGTATGCCTTGAATTTGTATTTCTTCCACAGCTACAGCAGAGAAAATAAACCTGGGGCATTAGGTAGCCCCTCTGCCCTCTGCCCCTCCCAACTTCTTCCCCCTGCAGCCCCTAAACCCCTTCCTTACTGTCAGAACCTGCTCTCCCTGAGCACAAACCTGAGGAGGAAATCTGAAAACACTGACCTTGAAATAAACACAGCTGCAGGAATTTGCACATAGTACCCATAGACTTAGTTCATCTGGAACTAATGCAGTTTACCTTTTTTGAAATTGCTGCAAGTTTTAGCACAGGTACTCTAGAAACACACTTTTTTAAGCAGCGCATTTGTACCTGTGTATACATAATACAAACTGGGTGCATGTACATATGCAACTGAGGTGAAGAAATAAATTCTGACACAGTTTATGCCAGAGTACACAGCTCCTGGGCCGAGCACCTACACATGTGTCCAGGATAGCAGCACTTTGAGCCAGGGCAGAGTAGTGCCAGGCTGGCAGGAGTATAGCGGTGAGCCCCGGGCTGTGGGTGGTGGTGTCAGGTGGTGGAGGGACTGCCTGGGGCATGTGGGTGCTAAAGTGGGGGGCAGTTAGCAGGCAGCCCCAGCCGTTTAGCACCCTCATGCCCCAGCCAGCCCATCACAATCTACACATGCGTTTCAGCACAACTAATTACTCTGCTGTAAGATAGTACTGCTGTGGACAGTACTATCTTATGGTGGAGCTAATGAATTTACTGAGCCTTAATACCAATGCATGTGTAGATGGTGATGCTTTACTGCAGAGATAATTAGTCTACTCCACAGTAAAACACATGTGTAGATGCACCTACTATGCATGATATTAGTCGAAAACCAAGAGGCTCACAACTTACCATATAGTTGGGTTGGGTCCCAACAGCATTTCCAGTCGTGGTGACCCTACAGCTCATCATTTCTCAGTATGTATGTGTACTCCAGATACCCCACACAGAGGATCCATGTGATGATTATGCTCCGCTCATGATTGGAACCAGGCGTTTCTGTTATGAGTCCTGGGATCCTCCAAAAATGTATATGGAGATGAGGCTCAGGACAACCTGGGTCTGGCTCCACCTCATGGAGGGCGAGGCCACACTAATCATATGCAACAGGCTGAAGGAGAGGACAACAGGGATTCTTGGTGGAGGTTGGGGCTCCATTTGGTGGTGTTTGCCAGACATTTGAGGTTGGTGAAGAAACAGGAATCATTGGAAATGGAAAAGAATGGCACAGCTCAGCTGTGGGAATGAAGAGGGAGTGAAGTAAAAATGTATAAAATATAGTGGCTCATTATGACTTGAATGACCCAGTGTTGGGTGTGGGGGCAGTGCTCAGTGGGCACTGGCATACATCTTATTCAGCTGGGCTGCACTAACTTATCCATAAGAATGTCTGCCCAGCATAGGCTGTGTGTTTTATAGTCGTGCTCAGTGGGTGCACCTATATGGGACATTTACTGTGCAGTTGACTAATTAACTATGCAATAAATGTCTCGGCATCTACACCTGTGGCTCTGTTAGGGCACACGAAACGAATAAATTCTGCAGCAGGGTATTGTGTGTAAAAACAAGTGCTATCCTATTGCAGAGCTTTTTCGTGTGCAGCAGCACACATGCAGACACTGACCGGCTGGCTGGGGCATGAGGGTGCTTCAGTGCTGGGGCTTCCTGCCAGCTAGCCCTGTGCTGAAGTACCCTTGTGTCCCAGCCAGTCCCTCTGCAGCATATTGAGCTTGGTTAGAGAAGCCCTAGGCTGACAGGCTGATTCCCAGGGTCCCCTGCCAGCCTAGTCGGCTTCTCTGACCAGGCTCCATGTTCTGTGCGTGAATAAACCCGGGAGCTAATTGCTCCGAAATTTGTTGCTCCCAGGCACACTTTCAAATGGTGTGCTTGGGAGCACAAAACTATGGAGCAATAAGCTCCAGCGTTTATTCATGTGTCCACACATACAATTAGTGCACACACCTAGTGTTGGTGGCATTTAATCAGCTTAATAGTTGGCTTCCATTACTGATCATATACTGCTTTTGGCATCAGTTTAATGATAGACAATATATTTAATACGGTGTTCTTGTACGCAGATATAATTGAGGGGCTTTTTTCCCCATGCTGATTGCGAGGGAGGGGATGGGGGAGGCGGAGGCGGATACCTCGTATTGTACTTGATTAAATACGGTACTCTTGAAGTATCACTTGGAAGAATATTTGCTAAAATATAGCCCCTTTTGGAGATTTAATCTCATGTGGTTGTGAAGCTTACATTTTTATTTTTCTGAATACTAAAGTATTTTGGATTGTGTTTTTAGTGTTCTTCAGGCCATTAGAAAGACAGTTTGTGATTGGGAAGCAGGACATGAGCCATTTAATGACCCAGCATTAAGAGGAGAAAAAGACCCCAAAAGTGGTTTCGACATCAAAGTTCCAAGGCGAGCAGTTGGACCCTCTAGTACCCAGGTATTTCTGTGTTTTTTTCTCTGTGGTGGTTATAGTACCCAGGGATTTCTGTGTTTTTTTTTCTCTGCGGTGGTTATGGTGCTTGGGTCATGGTAATATGTATTGTTTTTTGTTTTGTTTTTGTTTTTTAACTGTTGAGCCTTTTCCAAATCTGGAATAGATTTTAGATTGTTCCAAAATTTCAGTTTTATCCATATCTAAATATAAAGCAGTTTAAAGCATTATAAATTTTGGATGATGCCAAATTCTCTTTCTGGGGTGCTGTAGCTATTTTCTTCTCTGGTAACTCT